TTTTTTTGCTCAGGGCTTGGGTAATGAAGAAGTACTGCGATATGTCAAAGAGGGTGGTGTGATGGAGGCTCCAGAGAACTGCCCCACTCAGTTGTATGACTTGATGAGGAAGTGTTGGCAGTTCAGACAATTGAATAGACCATCGTTCTTCAATCTTGTGGAAATGCTGCTACCTTATGCTGAAACTGTTCCTTCATTTAGTGCCCGATCCTTCTACCACAGTCAGGAAGCAATGGAGATGAGACACCCTCCTGAGCCTGGGCGAGCCCCTCTTGAAGAAGCAGAAACTGACATGGATATTGAGGCTATTTCACCTACAACTCCTTTAAGATGTGCGGAAAGTGAGGAGCAGGTAAGCACTCTAAAACCTTTCTAATTGTTATTAAAGAACAAAAGCAGAGGTCAGTGTCTGGGCTACATTTGTAACTGTGGGACTTGTGCCAAAAATATAATTGTTTTTGAGCCGAGGCCAACATCATAACAAAAGGGTTCTGCTCTCGTAACGAGAAAAAAACACGGGGTTAATAAGGCCCTCCTCCTATGGGGCATCAATATTCACCAACTTACTAAGTTCCACTTATTCAACCAATTCATTTGAATTATTTTTTTTGTCTATTTGTTTCTATAACAGCCTGAACCAAGTGTTATGCCGGCTCCCGCTCCCAGTAGTTATGCACAGTACCATAAAGCTTACTCAAGTGATTCGAGTAGAGACAGCAAAGCAAGTAATGGCAGCAGTGCAAATGTTAATACCGCCAATGGCTACATTCATGATTGGCATCGTCATGGAAATGGTGCTACAACTCATACCGCACATCCTCCTCATGGTTCGCATCATGGACCACCACCAACTCTCAAGACTACAGAATGTTGATGTGTGGGTGATTTTTAGCAGTCTACTAAAGAGATTATTTGTTTCCTACATATGTGCTAGCCTACAGCCGACTGCTCATACTCAGCAAGTCTGTCATCAACCCATGACAACCTGCGCCAAGCCTTGCGCTTAATTGTGCCGTTCAGTACAAGTACTTTAGCAGTCTGCGTGCCACTTTTGATTTTACTTTTGTTTTCTGGTCTGTGTATAGTTTTATTTTGTTCTGTTTACCACATTTCTGGATATTTTGTGTGAGTATGATAGATGTAATATTATTTATGATGATTATCTGTATTTATTATTTGACTTAGGTTTTTTTTTTTAAGAGTATGCCCTGTTTGTACAGCCTTCCTCCTTGAGGACATTATGCACAACTTTAAACAAAATGTATCTTTTAACCTATTGAATTATGGCTTTTACTGCTGTGTGAGGGTGAGGGCGCCGATGTGATGTTCTCAACATGTGAACGGAATTATTTCTTGGGAATATATTTCCAGTTAGTGTGTGCGTATTATTGCCCCTGCAGTGCTTTCCTTATGGCCAATCATTATAAAACTTTATCCTAGAATTGTTTGAAAATTCTGTTGACATATTTAAAGTGTTTTGTTTTATTCTACTGCTTGTAACCAAGACATCATTTTAAAGAATGATACTTTAGATTTGATGTATTTTTTTAATTTAATTGTCTCAAAAAACCTGTAAATCAGCCGGCAAACCTTTTTTCTATGCTTAAGAGTTAGGTTTATTTAGCGATGGTCATAAGGTTTAGACCAGATTCCATCACCTGTTTACTCAAACCATTGTAACAAATTGATCTGATTCTAAGTAAACAATCAACAGTTATGACAGTTAACATTTGTTGATTATTATTTTTTTTTAATTTTTATGAAATATATTACTTTTTAAGTTGAATGCTGAGTGGAGCAGGTTAAGTTGATTGAACTTTGGTTCTACTGGTTGATGAGATCTGGCCTTTAGAATGCACTTGTATGTATATCCTTTACCTGTTGCTGTTTCAGCCAAATATTTTTCTCTTTCTGTGATACTGTTCTCATGTAGACTCTTTTTTGATGTGTAGGACATAATTTTATGGTTGTGTGCAATGTGAAAGTGTCATACAAGTCGATACCCTAGACAATGAGCAGCTTTTTGGCCATATGACTATGCCCAGGTTATTTGTTCCTACACCATCTCAATATTTATTGTTAATCTTAATATTAAATTAAAATTCCATACCTTATTCAGTGGTCAACCTGACTGTTTACCTTTCTTTGTGAGCAGATTGTGTGCCTCCTTTTGGTGCAAATAGTTTGAATGTTTCTTGCAATCTTTTCTTTTTAACTATTGGTTTACATGTACTGAACATAGATATACTAGACCTCAGTGATGGCCTTGGTACATGTTTTTAAAACTGTGCCTATTGTCCCCCCCCCCCCTTTTTTTTTGACCAGTGCAGGATACTCCTCCGAATGAGGCTTATTTATTACCGTATTCACTGTTATGTAGGATGTTGCTATTTCATTTCATTTTGATATTGTATGGATGTATCAGGCCCCGGTATCATGTTGTTACCCAGAGGATGAAATCACTAAGCTTATCTGGGCCCTGACATTAAACTAGACTCCAAGGGATGGGAAAAGCGACTTGTTCACTTCATACCACTTAACTTAAATAACTGAAGCAAAGTAGCTTATATTCTAGTGTGTATGGCAATTTTCTCAAACTCCCAGTTACTATTTGAGAATTGCTAGTCTTAAATTATTTGCAATGAATTTTGGAGAACAGGAAACTAAAAAAAATGGACTGAAGTATCATTTTTGCTTGGTTCTCATAGCTTCTCTTCAATGAAAAATCTGTTTAAACAATAGTTGCCTTAGTTTTTTCTATCAAAGCCAAGAAAAGGCAACTCTTTTGTTAGTTTCTTATCAAACCTTTTTCATTTTCACTTTTGTTTGGAGCTATAGGCACAACATCTAAAACTACTCTTTTTTTTAAAGTACTTTTCTTTCTTGAAAACAAATCTTGTTTTAGTCTAAACAAAGCCCCTTAAAAAATTATTTTAAACTTTGTATGGCAGGTTTTACTCAAATTCTATTATATAAGGTATTTCAGCGTGAATCCTGAGGGTGTTTTATTTCCCGTTTTATAGCCCTCAATAACTTGAATCATAAATTTCTTGTACCTTTATTAATAGCTCAATGAAGCTAGCTTAGTGAGCTTGATGCTCCTTCAACTATCAAGCTTCTCACTATCACCAATGTTGATTCATGTCAATCATTTGATTCATTGGCAGTTTATTCAGTTCAGTGGTTTCCTGCACCCAGAGCTCTTTTATGCCAAAGTCTTGTTGAATATATATTACTGCAGATACTGTGCCTCCAAAGTACAGTCAATTTCCGTTAGTGCGACCCCACTGGCACCGCGGCCCAAAAACGTTATAACGGGGAAATCGTTGTATCCGATAGCATTAAGAAGAAAACTAATGCCATGGGACGGCGGAAAAAATCGTTATAACGGGGAAATCGTTGTATCCGGGGGTCGTACTAACGAGTTTTGACTGTAATGTATTCCCTCAATCCCCTAATTCTAATATTAATTTTACCCTTTGCCATCATAGAAATGTGTGCTGGACTGATGTGGACTGACAAAGCATTGCACTCCTTCTTGATTTGTACAAGTATACATTTCTCTTGCTGCTGGTCACTTTAGTAGTTTTTGTGAATAATGTTGGGTTCAAGTTCTGCATAAGTATGTAAGAACTTCTTTTACAATCTTATCAGTTTGTAAACATCTTGTACTAACTGTCCATGACATATGTAGACAGCAACTAAATTTGAAGTTGTCTTACTCTTCAGTTTTTTTTTCTTTTGCTTTACTTCTTGTCCATTTAACATTTGAAATGCAGACAAAACTTCAGTACTCATATGTTTTGCCTTTTCCATTTTATGATTTTCTAGATTTCTATTCTACCTTGTACTCAGGAGCTTTTTTGTGTCATACTTGGATGCATACATATGCCAAATTACTTTCATTCGTATAATATCATCCTGTCTAAAAGCACTTCACAGAGTGAAAAGGTGAATTACATCTTAATTCTAGTATTTATTACTTTGTATGGTACAGTATGATAGTTTCAAAATATTTTTGTATAATCACCCAGCTCACTATAGAACAGTAGAAAAGTGTAAAATATATTTTGTTATAACTGATATTGCTTTAAGACAGGAAGGTGATTCATGATTTTATTTGGCATGTACCTGCTTGAACTTATTACCTCTTTTCACCAGAAGCAACTAGGTTGGCTTCAGACTGACAATATAGAGTTCAAATTGCTTGGCCTAAATCTTTCCCTCTCTTATTATAATTATTATTAATGTTGTTACGGTTATTATGTAATTATTTATTTTTTCATACTTGTATGAGAATATGTGTTGCCATTCAATTAACGAAAGCTTTTGATACAGGGTGCTCACTTTAAAGTTGTATTATATATTTGTTAACTCTTGTGTACTTGCAGTGCTTCTTTTTCCATTGCTCTGTTCCAGTAGTTGGAGAACATGTCAATTGTACCACTTTCATGCCACCTGCATTGAAATTGTAAGCCTGCATGTTTCTTTCAAACAGAAACGTTCTTGGTTAGTCTGCAGTCTATGTAGAAACTGTTTCTATTGTTAAATCACTATGGTGATACTGCATGACAGTGGTACATTTAGTTACTGGAAACCTTTTTGGTATTATCAAGCAATGGCTAATGCTGAACAATCTTGTCACAGACTTTAACAATATTTGTACAACTCAGGTGCCTTTGGCCACTTGGTATACATAATCTATGTTTACCAATCTTAGAATATTTCTTAACCAAAGGATGCCCTTTGTAAGTGAATAATGAATAGCAGTTGGTGGTTGCGGAGATCAAAGAATCGGCTCAACCGGCACAATATTAATCCCTTGTGTCAATATTCAGGAGAAGCAGTGTGTGGACTTTTTTTATTGACTTGAAATTTATAAATTTTAATTCAAGATTTTAAGTCCTGCAATTTTAGTATCGTGTCAAACTGCAGTTTGACTTGAATGCTAATATTGTTTAGTTAAATAAATTCAATATGGTCTTTTGAATAGTAAAATATTAATAAATCTCAAGTTCCTGATCTGTTAACAGAAACGTGTCTTAGGTGTAGATTCATTCCATAAGAATCAAAATGTCCAATAGGATATACTTTATGATGTAAGTGCCGCTGATTTGTGTTATACATTGAGCTCAAGGGCCCGAATTCAGCCACTTATTATATTACTCAGACTGATTGTAAATATTTATGTGTAGACTATTTGTACATTGTATTCATCATTTTTAATTATATGTCCATTGTATACGATGTGATTCACAAAAAGTGAATTGAATGAACAAATGTGTAAAAAGTCATTCCATAAACCAATACTAAGTTAATGTAGTTTTAAAAACAATCTTGTAAATTTTTCCAACAGTATTCAAAGGGGCTTGCAAATGCTTACTTATAATATATTGTACATAAAGTGATAAATGAGAAATTAACTTGTACCTGTGCATTTTATAAACATCACCCACCATCACAGAACATCACATTTTTCAGAACCTCGCAACAGAACATAATACAGATGAAGTTACGGATGTTGCCATGATACCATGATGATACAGCACAGATCGGGCGTGAGGAGAGGGATCGGGTCAAGTTGCGGCCAGGGTCAAGTAGATAAAACGCCAGGGTGTCAACTGTTCGCTAGAATTCGCTCATTCGCTAGGTCAAATATCAATTCATCACGTTCGCTCTAGCAGAGGAGGGAAGGCCCAGGTGGCCCAGGTCTTCCGCAGTGCTTCCTGTGCCCGCCCGATTGCCATACCAGTTATTTATGTAAGTGGAATTGGATAGGAAGATTCAAAAGCTTAAAATATAAAAAGTGCAACGCAGATAACTACTTGTCAATCAAATATCTTTGACAACTGTCCGCTCATTCCAACAAATCACAGATCGTATGACGAGCAAACCCTCCAAACTGACCTATCAAGACCGATGAATTTTTCATTCTTCGTCACCTATAGCAGACGACACCACAGAAGCAAAACAAAAGCAGAAGGGGCCTCACCCACCACCCCTCTACTCACCGTCGTTGCATGTCAACTCTATTTTGAAAGCGGAAAGCGTGACGAATTATGTATTGATTTACTCTGTCTGGCAATACCACTAACTCCGTAGTTATTCTATCAATGAGTTTACGTCCTACGGGCTATGAAGAAGTCAAAAGGCAAGTGAATCTTTTCTTTCCACTTTTCCAGTGTTTGATAGTACACGACTCCTCATTTCGGAATGTAGTTTTCAATATGATTAAGTTACGTAACATTTTGTCATCCTTTGCATTGTCGAAAATGAGAGCGAAAGAAATTATTGATCAGTGGAAACTCGACTTATTTCAGAGATGACTCTGTTTCTTCCCATATTCTAGTTTGGAGGAGGAAGAAGTTCTAACCTGTAGTGTTTACATATACTCCAGCCCAGCAGGCTCTGGCCTTTGTTTGGTTTGTACTGCACTCTTCTGATTTTTTAAGTCTGTAATATTTTTATCCATTTCAGTTAAAATTGCTATGCTCTCACGCTGTTTTGGAGAAGCCGCATTGTTACAAACCCTTCAGTCTCCATCAGACAGTGTTACTTGCTGTGACTTTGGAGCAAATTTTCTATTTGCTGCTGGTTCAAGGTATGTTCTCTCTCAAAAATGTTAATTAAATTTCTTGATTCTCTAAGATTTTTATATATTTTTAAAAAATCTAGCTTATAGTAACACATTTAATTAAATGTGTGTCAGAACTTCCCTGTTTACACACAGCTGCTTGTATCTAGAAGTTGCGGAGTTCCTAAATGATTGTAAATAATTCAATTTTGTTTCCTTAGTGATAAGCTAGTTCGGGTATGGGAATGGATAAAAGGGCAAGGCTTTGTAGAAGCCTCATATTCCCCCCTAGGTGGTCACAGATATGCTATTACCAGTGTTCGGTTTTCACCTCTGGGTACAATGCTGGCAAGTTCCTCATCAGATGGAAGCACCGTGTTGTGGAATGCAAGGGTAATGATACAGTAAAGTTTTTCTTGCCTAGCAATTTTTATGTTTTTCTTATAATTGTGTTCTGTTTTGGTCTTAAAGACAGGAGTACGTATTCACACATTTGTACAAACAAATGGCTCAGCTGTTAGATTAAGCATATTTGCTCCTAATTCTACATTTCTTGTGAGCTCTGGTGACGATGGTTCCATTTGTGTCTGGGATATCCTACGACGCACTCTGGTCAGGTAAAGCACTTATTTCCACACTCTGACTCTCATGTATATTCTGTCTTAAGAGTTTTTCCTGTTATTTTCATGTATTTTGACAGATCATTACCAGCACATGATGCTACTATTCAAGCCATGTCATTCAGCCCAGACTGTAAATATCTCTTGACTTCAGATACAGTTGGGGTCTTAAAGTTATGGAAAGATTTAGTTGAACCTCACAATGAATTAGAAGATTCAGCGAGTCCCACTGACAGTAACGAGTGTCTTGTGTCAGTAGTAGAAGATGCTCATGACCTAGGTGTCACAGGTTCAGATTTTGCTTCAACTCAAGAGACCCCAGGTTTGTTTATTTCTTAATGTGCTAGTTTTGGTAAATGGTCGCAATAAGGCACCAGCAACTATTTCAATGACAGTGTAACACGTTTATCAAGGAAATTAAAAATAAGATGTACGTTTTTCACAGCTGACAATGTTTTGGCCACACGTTACACACTTGCAACATGTGGAAACAATCATTTGGTGAAGGTATGGTCATTTGTTGTTATGCATCCTACAAAGCAGTGGAATCCTCCCCATTCCCCAGCCTCTGGATCAGGACGACAAAGCCTGGTTCCCACCCCTGAACTTGGTAGTCCGGTCAGTCCAAACAGTCTAGGCCCTCGAAGAGAAAATAGCTTTAGAATTCGAGATAGTAAAAGAGAAAGCAATGAGAGCTTACGAAGAAGAGGAAGTAGCGTAAGGAGGAGACACAAACAGTGTCAAGTGTCTCTCAAGCTCACGTTAGAGGGACATGGATCTGATGTCACATGTGTTCGATTTAATGCAAGTGCCACCCGACTTGCTTCTTCCTCTCTTGACAAAACTGTTAGATTGTGGGAGGTAAGTCAGATAATTGTGTACCAATTTATGTTGTTATATTTTTCTTTTTGCTGGGGTGTATTATGTTTTGTCATGTAAATTTTCTGCCATCAGATACAAAGTGGGACTTGTCTAAGAGTACTAGAGGGTCATACAAGATATGTTGCTTGCTGTGTATTTTCTCGTGATGGATCCCTCCTAGCATCTGGTTGGTTAAAAATTTAAAACATGGATCTGTTCAAACCGAAATTTGTGTGCCGCATTTGGTGTTTATTTATAGCCTTTTTTCTTTCAGGATCTAATGACAAATCTATTCTTATGTGGGATGTAAAAGGTAAACTTTCCCTAGACACTGATCTTGCACCATCTTTAAGTGCTTTTCGTGACAAACTATCTGGTTCTAGTTTTGATAGTACTGGTGGCCCCGTAAGTTTTTATGTTGTAATTTTTTATTATCTTACTATTTATCATCTATCTACACTCGGGTACATTTTCAAAAACTGTTTTAAGAGGGTCAGTTGGTAAAAAATGACTTTTTAAGCACTTTCTCTTAGAATTAATCCTTTTCAGACCCTTCAAAACAGAAAACAATCAATATGTTGTTTAATTTTGTTTTCCTATTGTTCATTAGACTGAAAGTATCACTCGATTGATCAGATTGACACGTTCTTATGGTATAGAAAGCATGTTAGAACTGACATTGGTGTTTTTCTCTTAAAAGATTTGTGCACATGATTTCTCCGACAAAAATTTACTTACAAGTCTGGACAAAGGTTTTTTTAGAATCAGTATCACTACGGATACAAATTGACACAGGGATTTGGTTGTGACTTGAAAAATAGAAGAATGTCAAACTAAACAACTTTCAAACTTTCTAGGTTTTGTTTTTCAAAAAAAGATATTTAACTTTCTTCTATTTTACAAGACACAACCAAATCCCCGTATCATTTTGTAGCCCTGGTAATACTGATTCTAAAAAGCTTTTGTCCAGATTTTTAAGTCAATGTTTGTTGGAGAAATCTTGGGCGCAAACTTTTGAACTGAAGAACAGAAATGTTAGTTAAGACATGCCTTTAGTACTATGAGGATGAGTCAATCTGACTTATTGAATGTTATTTTAAGTCTAATGACCTACATGCAAACTATATTTCAGAAGTCGGGAAGAATGGTCTTACAAGGATTTATTCCTGAAAAAGTGCTCAAAACCTCTTTTTTTACCAACTGAACCAATTTTAATATATGTAAAAATTTCACAGCCTGATGTGAGCGCTTTGGAAGGAGGGCCCAAGTCATCTGAGTCTCATGCAGAGCTCCGTGAAGTTCAACTTTTACAAAGAATTGAGTCTCCTAATGGTGCTGTGAATACATGCGATTTCTTTGGGAACAACTTTCTTGCGTTCGGTGGCGGGTAAGATCAAAATTAAGATTTAAATTTTAAATCTAATTAGCATATGTATTTTCTAATCTATGGTTTACTTTTCAGGGACAAAATGGTTCATATATTTTCTAAGTCTGATAGCTTACGGTTCCATGAAGTTAAAAATGTTTCGCCAATCGAAGCACATGCATTTTCTGTGAACCAAGTGGAATTTTCACCTTGTGGAAAGTATGTAGCCTCCTGCTCGGCAGATGGATGTGCTGTTCTCTGGGACACAGAGGTAAGTTCAGAAACTTTGAGGAAGGGAAATTAATGGAACAAAACTTTGTTCTCTATTGTGATCTAATACCTGACCCCTATAATTTTGCTTTTAGACAGGCAAGCGAGTCCCTGGTAATTTTGGTACGGGTCGCAATGCTATTCGAACTTGTCGCTTCTCACCAGATGGAAAATTACTTATATGTGCAGGCGACGATCAAACAACCAGTGCGTGGCGTACAGACACTGGAGAACTATTTTTGTAGGTTTTGCAGGCTTCTCATACATTTTTGTAAACATTTCTAACATTACAGGACTTTTATTATTTAGATGATTTATTTCTATAACAGGTCGGTTGAAGGGCACACTGAAGCAGTCACAGCTCTAGCAATCTCTCCAGATAGTCAGTTTTTGGCAACTGCATGCAGTGGTGGGCACATAAGAGGCTGGGCTGTTGCTTCCATCTGGGATCATTGTTTAATGTTACAAGAAGATGCACATGATTTAGGTGTTCAGAGTTGTGACTTTTCACCATCAGCTGGTATGCATGGTGTGTATAACTGCATTTGAATTAAACTAAAAAAATATTAACATACTAAACACTTTTCTGGAAAAATCAACATTTATAAATTTATTGTTTTAGGTTCAGAGAACTATTTGCTAGCGTCGTGTGGTAATGATTCTTTGGTTAAGTTGTGGAAGGTAGTAAAGGATATATGCATACCCCCAATAACATCTTCACTTTTGCTGAGCACCCCACCGGCGCCAGCTAGCCCACTGCGTTCTCCTAAGCCCCCTCCCGGTGCTAAACTTGTACGAACTTTAGCGGGACATGGAGGCAATGTAATGTGTGTTAGGTTCACCCCAGACTCAGGCGAATTTCTTGTTTCTACTGCCTCAGACTCTACAGCACGTATATGGAGTGTGGTGAGTTGTGAAGCATTTCTTTCCCTCCAGGGTTACCACTTGGCATTGGCATTATTGACCGCACTCCCCCTTCGGTCCAATCAATCAATCAATCAACAAAAATACCTTACTAATGGAGTTTCTATCTATCCTTTTTAGCATTTAGGTGATTGCCTTTTTGTGTTGGAAGGTCACAACAGGCAAGTTACATCATGTGCCTTATCAGCAGACTCTTCACTTTTAGCAACTGGTATGAGAAATGATACATTTTTTTCTAATTTGCTCCAAAAAAAACACACATTCTTTTGTGCGTGTTTGTGTGAAAAAAAAAGTATGCTTGCATGCATTAAGGCTTCTCTTTTTGTTTTTTATATTTTATTTATATTTATTTTATAGGCTCAAGTACATTATGTTTTTACTGAATTTACTATTAGGTAAGTTATAGTCTTGAAATCATTTCCCTCATTAAAAAAAGGAACCCCACTGCTTATAAATAATGTTACCTTATGTACTTGAATGTAAGGCAGCATGCTATGCTGCATTATGGACTGAAATACTGGCGAGAGGGTCCTATTTTGCTTTGGTTGGTTTATACTAGCAGAATACATCCTGGCTCCCAGCACTACTGTCAATACAATAACTAAAAATTTTATACAGTATTTGAGATCTTTTAGCTCTTGTTCAGATCTTTTTCAGATAACTGATAATCTAACAAATTTTTTCTCTCCTCCAGGGTCATTGGATAAAGCTTTAATATTGTGGCTCCTCCCTGAACATTTGGTTTATCAAAGTGTTGCTGCTTCCCGCCTTCGAGGTCAACCACTTTATGTTCGTAATTATACTTCAATGAAAATCACTAATAATAGTCTTTTACATAGAGCAGCTTTCATTAATCAATTAAATTTCAAAAACCAAACAGGCCCTTGATTGGACTCCTGCTGACGTCATATCTTGGCTTAAACGGACTCTTTCCTTCCCAATTGCACCAACTATTTCTGTGACTGAGAATCTAGATGGTTGTCAGATTCTAACCCTGCCAGAAAATGAAATTGCTTCAATTTTATCTATAGGTAATACAAAATCTATCCTACAAATTATTGCAGAGAATACCATCCTTGCATTACTCATGTTCCTGTTAACATAAATTATAAAAATTGTTTTATCATTATGCATTAAAAATTGTTTTATCATTATGCATTATGATTTCAGAGGATCCAGAACAAATCCATGAACTAACATTACAACTGAAATGGTTAAGACATGAGGAACTTAACATCTGCCTGCCGGAAATTTCAAGTAACTCTGACGTACCTCATGAATTTTTGTGTCCTATCACACGGGAGGTGATGCGTGACCCAGTGGTTTGTGCAGGTAAAAAATGTTAAAAATTTTGCCCTCTGGCATGAATATTGGTTTCAGTGCAATTGATTAGAGTTTCTATTAATTGTGTTTGTAGATGGTTTCACCTATGAACGGGCTGCAATAGAAGAATGGTTCTTAAGTGGGAAGTTGACAAGCCCCATGACCAACTCAACCCTGCCCAGTTTAGCCTACCGGCGACATTCACAGCTGAAAAGAGCTATCTCTGAGTTTTTATATGATGATTCATCAGAACCAAACACAGAATGAAGGCAATTTAATATACCACTCTTGTACTATGCTTGCGGTCCGCGGGGTAGCTCGCGCAAAGACCGTCTAATTATTGTGGCGGAGGGAGGCGTTGCCACTTAAAACCAGTAGCCTGCCCCTAATGGGTACGCAGTCCCGAATGGAACCGTGCGGGCGGGTTGCATGCGTAGTACAAAAGTGAGCGGTGGGAATCAGCCACCTGGTACAATGATTTATCTTAGAAATTAGAAAAGATTGACTCAAACTCAAAGTATGATTTACTTTGGATGAACTCCTCTTGCTCTAGTCAGATTGCCTTAGCCAAAAGTGTTCAGAAAACTGCTTTGTCAAATACCCCTGACAAGTGCCATCAATGTGACTTGCTGTCAGTAACTATAATTGAGGTTGTCCTTGTACCTGTGATATCATTTGAGATGTTGATTTAAGACAAAGTCTCAGAGAGAATTATGTACAAAATAACTTAAGGTAAACTTCAAATTTATATGGAAATATGATGAATGAAATCTCCAACTCTAAAATGTAGTGATTCACCATATAAGCAAGGTCCCTTGTAAATGTGATATTTTGATGCCAGGACGGAAAATACAAGGAATTACAGTGAGAAGTGCAGTACATAATTGTATGTTACGATCAAGATGTTCCCTATTGAATTTAAAGTTTCTAGATCTAAACTTTTATTACTAGAATTTAGATTATGTTTCCTGTCAGTCAATTTCTGTGGTTTTTCTGGAGAAAGATAAAACAACACTGGTACTAGGTTCCATAATAACTAATTTGTCACATAAAAGAAAAGTTTTTAAGTGTTACTTAGATAGCTAAATGTATTGAAAGCTTTTCACCTATTTTAATCAACCATTTTCGCACTCTTGATTATGTATGATTGAGAACAGTCTCAAACACCACCACCTACTAAGGGCTTCAATTGAATTTCAAGCAAGTGTTTGTCTTAAAGTCCCATGTTAAATATTCTTGAAAATATTACATTGTCTATTTGAACTTATTTCTCAAATTTTCTCTTCTATTTACTTATTTATTTATTGGCTTCAGACTGACAATATAGAGTTCAAATTGCTTGGCCTAAATCTTTCCCTCTCTTATTATAATTATTATTAATGTTGTTACGGTTATTATGTAATTATTTATTTTTTCATACTTGTATGAGAATATGTGTTGCCATTCAATTAACGAAAGCTTTTGATACAGGGTGCTCACTTTAAAGTTGTATTATATATTTGTTAACTCTTGTGTACTTGCAGTGCTTCTTTTTCCATTGCTCTGTTCCAGTAGTTGGAGAACATGTCAATTGTACCACTTTCATGCCACCTGCATTGAAATTGTAAGCCTTCATGTTTCTTTCAAACAGAAACGTTCTTGGTTAGTCTGCAGTCTATGTAGAAACTGTTTCTATTGTTAAATCACTATGGTGATACTGCATGACAGTGGTACATTTAGTTACTGGAAACCTTTTTGGTATTATCAAGCAATGGCTAATGCTGAACAATCTTGTCACAGACTTTAACAATATTTGTACAACTCAGGTGCCTTTGGCCACTTGGTATACATAATCTATGTTTACCAATCTTAGAATATTTCTTAACCAAAGGATGCCCTTTGTAAGTGAATAATGAATAGCAGTTGGTGGTTGCTGAGATCAAAGAATCGGCTCAACCGGCACAATATTAATCCCTTGTGTCAATATTCAGGAGAAGCAGTGTGTGGACTTTTTTTATTGACTTGAAATTTATAAATTTTAATTCAAGATTTTAAGTCCTGCAATTTTAGTATCGTGTCAAACTGCAGTTTGACTTGAATGCTAATATTGTTTAGTTAAATAAATTCAATAT